ATATGTACCCTTTTCACTCTGTTTTCTGAATGGGAAGCTACTGATATTATTGGGTTTATTCAGGTAAGCAAGCACCTACGCACCATAAAAACTTGATTTCCATGATTAGCCTTAGTGTCTCTTTAACCCCTTAAGGACCAAACTTCTGGAATAAAAGGGAATCATGACATGTCACACATGTCATGTGTCCTTAAGGGGTTAAATAACACCAGAAAACTCAATACATGAGACAACCAAAACTACGAAGGGGCTGGTGGATTAAAAAAGTGCCCCAGTTTACATTAACCTCCAAAAGCTGCAGGTACTATAGAAGGCACTGAGACGTATAAATAGCTCTGGGTTAGGATGTCACTATAGGACGTGGGTGACAGTAGCTGCCACTAACTAATGAGGTGCACTGAAAATGCACGTAATTCATAAGCAAATTATTTTTTTTTTTAATTATTTGTTTAAAAATGGCAAAATAGACCAGGAGCACGTAAGTGCTACTCTTACCTCTTGCACATCAGACGAGTCTAAATGCATAACAAGCCATTATTTTTAACAAGAAGGCACTAGAGGCATGGTTTAGCATCATCAGTTTGTTGTATACGTGGATGGATTTTGCAGTAAAATTAATCCCTGGGCTGGGACCTAAAATTGAGCCCCTATGCTATTTCATTGGGTCTCTCAGTAGTTGGAACAGACACATCCAGTTCATCAGGCCCCAGGCAACTACTCACAATAAATGGGTTACTGTAACCGCTCTGCCTTCTTAAGTGCAATGGAGAAAAGTCTGAAGCTGGAGCCAAGCAATGCAGAATTAAGTTTGTTATATAGTGTGTTGAAGAATGGGTCACGAAGGTCATTTTAAAACTGAAGAATGTGTGTTCAGACTAACGCAGTGTATGGAATTTGGGTTACAATTAATAAAAAAAAAAATTAAATTAACCCCTTAAGGACATATGACATGTGTGACATGTCATGATTCCCTTTTATTCCAGAAGTTTGGTCCTTAAGGGGGTAAGGATCAAACATCTGAAATAAAAGAGAATCATGACATGTCACGTGTCCTTAAAGGGTTAAAGGAGATTTGAAAAAGGATGATTTTAAGAATACACAGGTGCTTAGTCGCTAAACACCAAATGATTTTAAAACTGCAAAGTTTAGGCAACAAGTAATGGTTTGTTAAAATTCTGTAACTCTGTTACAGTGACGGCCTGGTTAAGTCACACTAAAGTTTGAAAATCACTAAAATTCTGAGTTTTAAGAGTAAACCCCTCAGGGCATATCAGATTACCAACACATCTGCCATACTCCATGCTGTTATTCCTCTAATCTAATGCAATAAACTCTGAGACTGCAGATTACAATCTATTCTCATTGTTACTTACTGAAACTAATCACACCTTTGGCCAATTTCTATTTCCAAAATAGATCATATAAAGAAAGTTACCCATAACAGATCATTTACTTTTTTTTGTGACCAGACACCTGTTTAAAAAAAAATAATAATTAAAAAAACTCAGTATGGCAAAACCTTGTCAATATGTTGTGTTCATATATTTTAGCAATAGCAATTTAGCAGTTTCTTAAATATTCAGTTTTGCTTGAAAAGTATATCCCAGCATGCAGTTCACCACCTCATCATTGCTTAGAATAACCCTTCTCTAAATCTTCGCAAAATGTTTAGAATACAACTGGCACATCTCTTAGGAGGAAAGCGAGTGACTTGCATATCTGTCAGGATTACTAGGTGATCCAGCAGGTAGAATTATATCACACCTAGGACTAAAGGTAATGGCTTACCGGGAATAGCCGGACTTAACGAACCAAAGAAAAGTCAGGATACTTGTCGAGGTCAGGGACACAGAAGGAGACACAATGATGAAGGAAAGCCAAAAGTCAAGGATACCAGAGTACTGGGAAGTTAAAACGAAGCCAAATTCAATAACCAGAAATAAACGCTCAGGAATAAACTCTCGGATAACCAACTAAGGGAAACCATGACAGAGCAATGAGTGAAAGGAGAAATTAGTTTAAATAACCCTCTTCCAGATCCGATTGGCCGTAACCGGCATTTGACCCCTAAAGGTGCGTGCGCGTCTATTACGTGACGTCACATGCACGTCGATGCCATCATTACCGTGGGGCTATAATATAGTGTGGATCCGCAGCAGCCGGCGTCCACAGATATGATGCAGCAGTCAGGTTTACCAGCGCCGGACCGCTGAGCGGCACCTCCATCACTGCTAGGAAGGCAATTCCTATTGCCAACACCACAAGGTGAGGTTGAATACGTGACAATATCTTAAATTTCCGCGGGGAGTGAGATTTATTATTAAAATTATCAAAGACTGCTGAACAGTTTAACAGTATAATTATTATGACTAAAAAATTACAAGCAAGTTTATTCAATAAACTGAGTGGCAGTATTTAGGCAAATATAGTTGATCTAGAAAAATTCTGTAGTGGCAGCTCAACTATTTTAGTCTTCACTTAGCAATTTGGATTTTAATTCACTATAATTCCTTACGGACTTTAGTGAATAAATCCTAAAGTATAATTTGAGAGAGAATACACCTTAAGGCACGCAATTATATTTTATTTAAGTAATTTGATTTAGTGATTGCCAATATATAATTATAGAAGCATTGATAAACACACCAGTGACTGTGACAGTACCCCCATTCTAGGCATTATGGGATATTGTGCATGTAATACATACATATGCTTTGCTTTACATTTTAACAGAGAAGCTATACGACAGCACATAAATGACAAAGCAATGGGAAGAATAACAAGAAGCAAAAAGGGCTTTGCTCAAGAGCTTACACTCTAAGAGGTTCATATTATACCATTTAACACTGTTCCCAGTTATTAAATGAATGAAAGTGCTAAATTCATCTATGGCGGCTTTCATTACTTCCCAGCCAGTGATCCAGGAGCAGTAAGTCACCAGGATTTGGAGAAAATCCAGCGGTGGGATTGATGATAAATTCTAGCATGCTACAACTCCTTGGGAACTGGATTGACAACCCCTGCCTTATATGAACTGCTAGGGTGGGAGAGAAAAAAGGGGGGAGAGAGTGATAGAGAAAGCATGAGAGAGAGAGTGTGATAGAGAAAGCACGAGAGAGAAAGAGAGTGTGATAGAGAAAGCATGAGAGAGACAGAGAGAGAGTGATAGAGAAAGCATGAGAGAGAAAGAGAGTGTGATAGAGAAAGCACGCGAGAGAAAGAGAGAGTGTGATAAAGCACGAGAGAGAAAGAGAGAGAGTGTGATAAAGCACGAGAGAGAAAGAGAGAGTGTGATAGAGAAAGCATGAGAGAGAAAGAGAGTGTGATAGAGAAAGCACGTGAGAGAAAGAGAGAGTGTGATAGAGAAAGCACGTGAGAGAAAGAGAGTGTGATAGAGAAAGCACGTGAGAGAAAGAGAGAGAGTGTGATAGAGAAAGCACGAAAAAAAGAAAGAGTGTGATAGAGAAAGCACGAGAGAGAAAATAAAAGCATGAGAGAGAGAAAGTGAGAGAGAAAATAAAAGCATGAGAGAGAGAGAAAGTGAGAGAGAGAAAATAAAAGCATGAGAGAGAGAAAAAGTGAGAGAGAGAAAATAAAAGCATGAGAGAGAGAAAGAGAGCAAAAGCATGAGAGAGAGAAAGTGAGAAAGCACAAGAGAGAAAGTGAGGAGAAAGTGAGAGACAAAGTGCAAGAGAAAATGCACAAGAGAGTGAGAGAAAAAACATGCGAGAGAGACAAAAAGCGAGAGAGACAAAAAGCGAGAGAGAGAAAGCGAACGAGAGAGAGAAAAAGTGAGAGAGGGGGAAAGAAAGAGAAATGCATGTGTCAGGATCCTTGATCACGCACACTGGTGACATCACACCCATGACCTCACTGTATCTCAGTGCAGAAGGTTTAGTATACAGGAGCCAAGCAGTGAACCCCAACCTTGCCAAGCAGCCCACCGCATAGTAATGGGGCCCAGTGTCCCGACACTGGTGGCTGATGCTTGCCCTCTCCTGTTGCCACAGAGAATGAGTCTCCATCATCAGTCACCCAGCACTGGGAGGGGGAATATAAACAGGTAGAGGCCTGGGATAGGACATGTTACCCACTAAAAAAGGCCATAGGCAGGGTATGAGGATGGGTACAGGGAGCAATAGATGTGGTAGAGAGAGACCAATGGAAGCGAGAAGGGTAACATGTCAGGGAGAACAGAGCAATAGCTGAAGAGACATTTACCAATAGGAAACCATGTGTGTAGTATCTCTTTGGGTTTGTACTGGTTGTCTGTGAGTGATAGGGCCAGCTTCATCTGTCCTTTAAATGTCAGTAATCACCCGCGTATCCCACAACACTGCACAATGTTTATCTAAATGTATTGTCCATTCATAAAATAATAATCAGAACACCAAGTCTTTTTCCTAATGATTTGTTCAGTCATCTCACCTGTACTGCAAGGGGTCAAAGGACTAGAGATCAGTGTGAGATCCCAGCTACAGACTGCCATACTGCATATTCACAGCCACTATCTCGGGTAACAAGGAGTTAATAGCATTCTGACAGAATGTAGGTATAATCTTGTTTCCGCACTGAACCAAACTGGACAATAGCTGGATCCTGTCACCTGCTGCACAAGATAAACCACACAAAGTAACTATTACAAAGGGACATAGACTACATCCTGGGGATATTTAATTCCTCCCAGGGTTACAGAGTCCATCCCTTTGGTAAGCCAGTCTGGTCTCTTTCTAATATATATATGGGGAAAATAAATAATACAATAAATAAATAAAAATCAGAAAATGCAAATCTCCCCTGTCTCTTTTTCTTTGTAAGCCATGACATCCCCTCCAGCACTCAGAGGGTTAATCCATTAGTCTGCAATCAGTCCATTGTATTAGTATTGGGCTTTATTATTGAAGGTGTGAAGGCAATAGATAGATGGAATGTGCTGATCTCACGATGAGTTCTGTAAACAGAATGTATTTCTCTCATTAACTCTCTCACTGCTGACATTGCTCCATCACAAAAGCTAGACCCTTTTCAGCAGCCCTGAGCCCCCTCACCCCTCCCAACTACTCCTGATATGGGGGGGTGGGGGCTGTACTGGGTGTGATGTCACTTCCACTGAGGCTGGGATATATAAGCCAGGCTGTGCTGCAGTGCTCAATAGGCTTCTACAGGAGAAGGCAGAGCAAGGTAACTGACAGATCATCCCCTCCACAGATAATTCTACAAACAGACACAGCTCTGCTCATCAGCATTTTAAAAAGCCTTGCTTGCTCTTCATGTAACACATTTTCCTTCTATTGTATTTTATTCTAGGATTTGGGCACTGAGCAAAGGATTACATCATTTACCCCCTCCAAAAAAAAAAAATTAGACACTGCCTGTGGAATGGGACAGAAAATGCCTTCTTTAGGGGTGATCTGCCTAGCCCTCTGTGCAATGCAAGGTAAGGATGTGCTTAGTCACTGATGGGGACATTGCAATCTGCAGTCACTGTCCTTTCAGCACTAAGGACAGCAGCCAGACCCCCACTGCAGCAGCTGGGACTCTGTGCTTATTGGATGCAGTTCAACACCTTGAGATGACCTAATAGGAAAGGAGACACAGACTCACCACTAAGTAGGATTAGGCTGGAGTTTGGATGGCTATCTCAGCACAGATTCAATTCAAAGGATCCAACTAAACACTGCAGGAAAGCATTCTACAAGGTCACCTTCCTCCCCCCCAAGTGATTTATCCTTTGTCTGTGGATAGATATGGTGCTTGATTTCAACAAATCATCAGCTCCAAATATGTATTTTCTGCAATCTTTACTCCTTATACAAACACATTCTAGCAGGAGATACATTAGCCAATAGCTGAACACATTGCAGTAAGACACACAGTGCATCAACTATACTGCTGATAAATTATATTGGGAATTAGAGCATTACTGCGTTTGCATGGTAGCACGCAAACATTTATTTTCTTAAACCAAAAGAAAATAGATCATGAATGTAAGGGGCCATGATGTTAAATGTTTTATTTAAAAATATATAGATATGTTATTTTATATGTATTCTTTGATTATAGATGATCAATTTTCTTAATTTTATTACATTATACCATAACATTTTTGCCGATAAGAGTAATTAAACTGTGTTTTGGTAAATTTGTGTGTACATGTGTCTGCGTACACACCTCTTCCTGTGATCACAAGTATATTAAGGAAGATACATCCATACTTTGTTATGGAATATTAATTAAACCCATCATTATTTTTCAGTAATCTCCTTCCCAGTATCCAGTCCAGCCAGTGAAGACGACAGTAAGGTGAGTCAACAAACTTTATTCTACAGATTATGATTAACTGGCTGGTCTGTCAATAAGACCAGTCCTCCCTGGGAAATTACAGCGTTTGCAAATTACATCTTTTAGTTAAATTATTCTATCAGTGGAATTAGTATAAGTGGAACATGTACTAAGAATAACCTACTTACATTTAATAGCATTTTTAAAGAGAGAGAGAGAGAGAGAGAGAACACTTGCATGTATTCTACAAAAATCACATAGAATAAATAGATTTTGTTTGGTTACATTTGACATATATGCATATTATGTAGCCAAGGATGCCCTATTTACCCAGGTTTTGATGTTCTGTATTTGAAATAAACAGATTTCACATTGACCTTATGCATACCAAGCATGTTGAAATATCAGATCACCCGTAGGCTATAATACCCAGAAACCTTTGCCAGACACCTGCTGTGCTTTTGAGTGCCAATGGTTCACGGCAATTGTACTCTTAAAAGCTGGAGGTCTCATATTTGAATAAACATGATGTATATGGTGTGACATTGTTGGCCAGCCCTTATACATGTTTATACAGGAAGAAAAAAAAATCATATTGACCAAGTTACACCGTAAACAAACCTCGTCTTTCCTACACCTCTGTTTTTTTGTCCCATGTCCTGGCAGTGGGTGCATTATTATTCATTAGAACAACTAAGATAATCAAATAAGGCAGGTCAGTTGGTTGATGCACCAACTGGATAATCTGTTCAAAATTCAGGGTTGCAGCCTTCTGAATTGACTCACATTTTGACCCCTAAATCAATGATATGAATGATGAGCTTACGGAAATATATTTACCATCCTTTACCCAACAAAACAGTCTATTAATAATGTGAGTTTTAAACAATTGAATTATTAGCATTAATCTACATCACTCTCAAAACACTTTTTTGTTTTTCCTTTCTCCTTTGTAACTGGTTTTTATATTTAAGAGTGTGAAATACATTTTATTTGCTTGCTTGGCCAACATTGGCACAATGTATGCAGACCTCTGCTCCTATTTGGATTTCAAATGAAACCTACCTCATTCTTAAGCCTATTTTTAAATGATAATGCATTGCAGAGAGTAGGAGTAACCAATGATTACCTCTGTGAACAGTGCTGGTCCCTTGGGCGGCTTAGTTTACATGTCTGATGAGAGAATGTTTAACCATTGAATGACCGATGAGGGTACTGTTCCACCATAGCAATCTGGTCTATAAAGATCTTATATTAAATTGCATTTCCAGTTTATTTGACAGCCAGGCTGCAGATAGCTACCCATGCTAAACAAAAAGTGTATTGCTTGCATGAAAAGGAGAGAATGGCCTTAAATGTAATTGACCCCAAGGGGTTACGAGGATGTTTGCTGGTTCTAATTTGATGGAGTACGTGAGTCTTGGAAAACCGAACTATGTACACGTTTCTTATTATGATACATTATGACTACAGATTTAGAAACTGACAATTTATAGTAAAACCTGGCCATTATATATATGGTCCAATAACCTTTTCTAGAATAATTGTATTGCACCTTTCCTGTTAATTTCACTTTGAATTAAAAAAAAGTTAAAGGATAAACATCCTCCCTCCTCAAACCTTCATTAGCTTTTCTCAAAGCAGAAACTGCAAGAGAGGAGATTAATTTTTATAAATCTTTAGCACAGGTATTGAGGGACATCGCTGTAAATTAAGATACCTTTAATTTTTACAAATGAAGCAAAGATGCAAAAGTCGGAATTTTGTAAAAATGATCCGATGTTGCAAGAGGTAGAAAAATACACAACCAAAAATGATATTGTATTATAGATATAGAACTTCAAAACCTAAACAAATGAGACTTAATTAAAACAATAGGTCATTGCTCCCTACTGAAAGAGATAAGTGAGAGTTCATTTGGTTAATGCACCATCTGTATTACATGTAGAAACTTTGGAACCACCTCTGCCTTTATCTCCACGAAAGCCACTTTAGTTCAAAAAGCCACTTAGGAATTAAAAAATACTTGGATCCTTGGGTCAAACTCCCCAAAGCATTCCAACAGTCCAGGATTCAGCCATCTCCCAATTCTATTTCAATGAGTAAACTGACAGACAGACTATTGGTGCATCTTGAGCACATTTTGTTTTTTCATTTTCTCTACTATACAAAAATAACAGATTAGCAAGCAATCCAAATAGTTGGGTAATGGGGAAATATTAAAGCTACTTTAGTTTAGTAACTATATTCATTCTATCTTTCGAAGTGTTGATACTCTTCAAATCCAGACAACCTCATTGACATCAAAGGGATTTAGAAAAGTGCCTCTAACACAAAACTAGGACAGAATTCTAAAACGGCACCAATTACCACGGAAACCAAAAGTAACAGCTGGAATAGTCCAGTGGTTTCCATGGCAATTGTCCCATAATTAGAAATTTGCCCCACTTTTACAAATCCCTACAATCATGTTATGATCTTGTACAGTGTGGACTGGGTCTTCTCAGCTCAATGAACCAGAATGATTTAGGTCACATTTAAACGGAGATGTTCTAGATCTTCCAGGTGCAGTTAGGAAGTGATTAGCCCAGATCCTCTGCAAAAAGGAGATATATACATACATACACACACATATATATATATATATATATATATATATATATATATATATATATATATATATATATATATATATATATCTCTTCCAGTTTGGACAACATTAACAGTTACTAAAGTACGAACTGTCAGGAAATCACAGGAAATGCACATTTAAGGCCAAAATAGCCAAACAAAGCAGAATTGACTTTTTTTCTGGTTTGGCTATTCTGGCCTAAACTCTGAAATGCACTTTGAATTTACTATGAATTCCTGACAATTCTCATTTTAGTAAATAATCTTGTGGAAGTATGACTGACGTTGAGATCAGAATATCTAATTATTAGGAAGTGATGCCATTTCCTCTCGCAATGAGGGTGCGTGAATATATGTGGGATAAAATTAGACTGTTTAAGTTTGTAATCAATATTATTGAATTTCAATTTCATTTACGGGATTTCACGTCTACGTTATTAGATTTTACTGTCTCAGGTTATTTGAAAGAGACGGTCATTAGTTTAAAGGGACATTTCTTGGCCTGTGATGCACTGCAGGAGTGTATCGCATAGGTAAATGCTCTGCAGATCTCCGCTGTGTCCACACTGAAGGTTGCAGAGTTCCGCATGTGTCAGATAAAAGAATGCAATGCTCTGCAGACCTGCATTTGTATTCTGGGAGAAGGTGGATCCCATATTACAATGTGTAGCAAATTACAGTGCCCTGCAAACCACTTGTGCAAATTTTATGTGCTATGCAGAGTCCCGTAGAGTTTTTAAGGCTCTGCAGTTACGTTGCCAAAGATCTACCAGAGGAAAGAACCTGCCAAGCAATGTCCTAGATAGAGGTTACAATAGTCTCTAAATGTTGTTGGCCGCAGCTAAGAATGCTCTGCAACGTGCTGAAATTAGGATACAAAATCTCTGCAGGCTTCTGGCAGCACCTTTCTGTACCTTATTTGCCGCTGGTAATGGGGTGCAATTTTGTGTATGGTCCTGGCAGCAACAAGCAATTCTCTATGGAAATCTGGCAACCAAAAGCAATATGCAGCAATCCTCTGTGTGATGGAACAAAGCTCTGCACGCAACTAGTAATAAGAAAAACATTTGCTGCTGTTAAATTCTGAGCTGCAAAGCTCTGCAGGATACAGGTGCCAGGCTGTAATGCTCTGCAAGTCACGGGGTACAATGTTAAGTGGGTAACTGACACCAAATGCTGCAATGGTGGATAAAATCAGGGTATAGTCTTTCTAGTTGGCATTTATAATTTTAAAGATTATAATGCTCTGCAGATTAGTGCAGAGCATTACAGTGTTTAATGTGATGTAGATTACAGGTAACAACATGGCAATGCTCTGCAGGTTTGGGGAAAACAGTGTTTAATGTGATGCAGATTACTGGGATAAAGTTGAAATGCTGTGCGGTTTCCTGTTGTCGTCGTACGATGTGCGATGTGCGTGTGGTTGTGTTAGAAAGAGATAATGGGATTAACATAATGTTTACAATGCAGCTAAGAAGACACCTGTTTACCCAAAGCTTTGAAAGGAGATCAAAGACACTGTCGCTGTAGCAACAACGGCACAAATTATCATTTTCCTAATGATTTTATTTAAAAAGTTTCTTCCCAAACTTAAACTCCAGTGTTGGCCCCATGGTCCAAGTTTTATCAACATCAAGAGCCACTGCAACGCACCAGCATGGTAGATAATGTTACTGGGAAGTGAGGGATCAGCATAAAATAAAGGTTACACCCAGTCCCCATTCTTGCATATGTCATTAAATGTAATATTCGTTTTTGAAAATTAAAGGAACACTAAAGGCACCAACAAAATTAGCAGTTTAATGCCCCTGCAGTTTAACTGATCGATTCCCTGCCATATGTTTATACAGCCCTAGCCACACCTCCCCTCTATCAGACCTACACAGTCTTCTTATTACAGTCTCCTTACATTTCCTTTTTAAGAGAGATTTAATGTTTAAACTTTTTATTATACAGTCTGTTTAATTTAATTTAGGAGATGCTTATCTCCTGCTCTGCCAATAGCCTGCTAGATCCTTCTATGTGTGCTTAATTAGAGCATAAGATAAGAATCTCTAAAGTAAACATACTGTGCTGTCACATCTGATTAAAAATAAAATGCTTTTTTTTTTTCATGGAGACTGTGAATGTCAGGGGAGCCAAGGGCTGAATAATTCCTTTAACTCCTAAATGGCAGAAAATTAAGCAGTGAGACTGCATAAAGTTGTTTTTGTGCTTAGTGTACAAGATAGGTGAGGACTAAAGCATTTTCAGTCCCTTTTGAAAAACAAACAAACAAAAAAAAAAAAAACAATAGCTGAAATGGGGAACAATGTCAGTTATGTTTTAACCCAAAGTTTGTAATTCACTTTAAATTACCAACAATCCACATAGACGTGCAATGGTTTTGAACATTTTGATTTTTAAATTTATTTTATGTTTTTTAAACTTGTCACAGCTTGTTGACTCATTCTTCAATGGTTATCCAATATGTAGTAAAACTAAATCAACAAAATTTCTTTAAAGAACACTCGAAGCACCGCATGTTGGATTATTATTATTTGCCTACTCTAACCATTGTGAACATAAATAAAAAGGCAAAAGGATCTAAGGGATTAAATATCATCATCATCATCAATTACCTTGAGTCATCAATTGTGCCTAACCTAGGATCGGTTCCATTTTCAAGACCCTTTTATGTTTCTATATTATAAATACATACACATACATGTATTCCCTGTTGTCTCAAATAAGTAATAATGTCTTTGTCCTTGTCTTTGCTTTTAATGTGGTATTGAGTGCAGGAGAAATTAACAAACTAATAGAAATCCAACAAGAGTTAGATATCCAAAGATTACCACTAATTAGTTAATCATTCATTTGAGATGACAATAGCGATACCATTAAAATGTATTCGAAGTTTTTATTAACTGAAGAAAGATGCTAACAATTATACATAATTTCCGTGAAAATAAAATCCAGTGAGAAAAAACCCCCCAAAAAGTTATCAAGTGTAAATTAAAATCGAAGGATCCACAAAAGCATTAGAGAGTTTCTAAAAATGAATTTACAGTCCCATATACCTTATTCGCATTATATTTCTACTGATACATATTTAAAGCGATACATTGTATATGGATAAAAGAATACTCTTACATTAACTGAAACACAATAACTCCCGAATGAGTCAAATGGATACTACTATTTGATTTCTTATAATAAAAAGGGGGATGTTAGAAGTGACTACACATTAGAGAAGCCCCTGTGACTAGAAAATGCAGCATATTCCCAAACCCCTCTAAGAGAACATAAAAGTCCTCACTGGTTGGAAAAGCTAACAATTAGATTGTCATTTGGTTTAACCACAATATAAAAATAATCAAATCTTGATAAAAGCTTAAATATACCAGTTATTAATAGAAAATAGGCATGAATGTAGGTCTGTGGTTATCCCTAATGAGTTTGATTACAGAAATGTATTCAGCAATTAAGGTGCAGATCCTCTTTTCAGCCCACTACTAGTATGTGGTGTTTATTACAAAAATGAGTGGTCATAAGTAGAGATGTCGCGAACCGTCCGCGAACTTCTCGCGAACGGTTCGCCGCGAACTCCGGTCAGCTGACACATCCCGGCCAATCTCCAGCAGACCCCCCCTCCCGGACCCTCCCACCTCCTGGACAGCATCCATGTTGAAGCTGCCTTCAACATGGATGCTGGAGATTGGCAGGGATGTGTCAGCTGACCGGAGTTCGCCACGAACAGTTCGCGGCGAACCGTTCGCCGACTGGTTTGGCTTTTATATTCATTAGTTCCATTTAGTGTTGGTACATCTCCCATAATAGAGACTACTTTATTTTTTTTCATTACTACAGTTATGGCTTATGACTAGAGATGTCGCGAACCGTCGGCGAACTTCTCGCGAACAGTTCGCCACGAACCGTTCGCGGCGAACTCCGGTCAGCTGACACATCCCGGCCAATCTCCAGCAGACCCTCCCTCCCAGACCCTCCTACTTCCTGGACAGCATCCATGTTGAAGGCAGCTTCAACATGGATGCTGTCCAGGAGGTGGGAGGGTCTGGGAGGGGGGGGTCTGCTGGAGATTGGCCGGGATGTGTCAGCTGACCGGAGTTCGCCGCGAACGGTTCGTGGCGAACCGTGGCGAACCATTCGCGAGAAGTTCGCCGACAGTTCGCGACATCTCTAGTCATAAGCCATAACTGTAGTAATGAAAAAAAATAAAGTAGTCTCTATTATGGGAGATGTACCAACACTAAATGGAACTAATGAATATAAAAGCCAAACCAGTGCTATTCTAAACAGCCCTCCCCCAATGCTTACTGCTTCGAGGCAGTGCCCCTGATCAGACAATAAGAAAATCAATTAATCAAGCAGCATCATAGAGTCTCAAGAAAATGCATAAATGGATTCCTTCCAAAAAATAAAAGCAAGTGTCAGCTCGACACGTGTTTTGGCGCCTTTATCAAAAGCAGCACATACCTCGGCAGAAGCCCGGCTATTTCTGAGAAGAGGTCCACCCCTCTGTGATATCACGTGGCCAATCAGAATCTCTGGCGTCACCTGGAGGCCAGATCGAAAGTCACACTCTCACCCTCCCTATTTGGCCAATCCACAAGGGTAATATTCTTTAGGGGGCTGATCCCTGGTTAGTGCCTCCCTCAGAATCACATCGCCAGATCTAATTGGCGATGCGTGCATGGGGGCATGTGAGCCGGTCACAAGCAGACTCCTTGAAAACCGGGGACATTACACATTATAGTGTAGGAGAAATAATGTTTCCACCTTGCAATTGCAATCACATAAGCCATTTTATTTTGGCTAACTGGGCTTTTAGCTATATTCCTAGTGACGGCTGCTCTATTGCCAGGTCACTCATTAAGTGACCTCAAACCTTGGTCATAGGGGGTCCCAGATCAGAGTGTGATAAGATGAGGAACAAGCTGTAGCTTGACATACGTGGTGTGGAACATGCTAATACATCACGAACCTTATGACATAACTAGGACACTTCTAAATCATAGGCCAGTGATGCTGAGCTTAGCACTTCAGTTGTTTCTGATCTATGTTTCTATGATGCTAACCAGACTATGGTTAGTCATCACTGTGGGAACAGAACACCCGGTTTAGGAATCAAACTAGAACGAACAGCCAACCGATGAAACGCAAGTTGTCAATCTTTGTAATAAGCTCTGTGCTTTTCACTTGGGAGTCAGCATAGATATGAAACAATGGTGGTTATGAATAAAAAGTAGCACAGCTGTTTTCATAAGGCTTCTGCATTCAGTTTAAAATGTCTGAATTTTGAGCGATGGGAGAGTTAGACGAATTTCATAACTCCAAAAAGCCATATAGACGAATCACGAGACAAATATAACTACCAGAGGACGAGCAGTTTAATTTGATTCGTACTTCAATAGTAATATTTATTTTTTACTGCTTCTCTTTTCCCCTGTATTGTTTACCATTTCTAACTTGATCTGTGAACCACGTGGCAGAAAAAGGTGCCCATCAGTGTACTACCAAATCTATACATAATAGTTGTATTGTGCAGAACACAGGCTCATTTACACTGGCACGCCATTTTGGTTCATCTGAATTGCTTTTCCTGAAACGATTGCATATATGAAATTCGCCCAAACCGAAACACCACAATCGGTCTGAAAACAAACACACATTTGGTTAAATCAATTCAACTACACCAAATTTTCCCACTTTGCACAAGTCCAGCTTTAGCAGCATTTTCTCTTTGCGACAATATTTTTCTTCATCAACATCGAATTTTACCTGCAGTCTTTTTTTTTTTATTATTGTTTAAAATGGCGGCGCTATTGATCTATTCAAATTAAAAAATAAAAATTTATTTTTTATTTTTTTAAACAATGGTGCATCAGTGCACCTTTTCTTTTCCTGACAACTTTTCCCACCCCACCACTTAAAGGGTGTCGGTTTTCTGTGAGAGGAAAGCATCTGTCCCGATCTTCCTTAGCCTATATTTTGTACCAAATCAGGACCAAAATTCACTGTTTAGTGAGTCGTTTATCCGAAATATTATGACTGAATAACGTTTACTATACTATAGTATGCCATCCCTGTGACACATTTAGTATTGAACGCCATCTACGGCATTGCACCTTTCTGTTCCACAGACCAATTGATGGAAAGTCTCCAGATAAAGACATATCCGATATTAAATGGCTTGCATTAAAAAGTATAGTACTGTGATATAGATTTGTAAAGCTTGGCCAATTTCTGTAATGCCTCTGGAGTGGAGTAATTGTGTTACTGTTTATGTAGCATAATACTACAGAGGGTACAAGACAGGCTTTATGTGTGGAGGAGAAAAAAGCACAACTTTCAAGCCAAAATCATTATGGACAAAGATGTTTTTCCCTGCCTGCCAAATAAATCCCCATAAGATTTAAAGGGATACAAATTCTAATTATAAAAGTATTTTTTTTTTTTTATCATTTTTTTTTAGGGGAGTGGGGGGGAGAGATTAGTATGTTAACTCTTTTAATATCAGTGATTGTTTTTATTGTAGTCGGATCTTTGGACTATATTTCAGAATCTTACACATGTAAACATCAGCCTGATTGTTAAAGACTGGAAAACAATATGAAAAGCAGTACTCAAAGTATGTGCTAAATAAAAGTGTGTGTGCCACCCCATAACTCAACGCATGCTTTTAAATAACCAAGGCCATAAAGTGCTAGCTCTCTAACCAATATGAAGCCAAAACCCTTCGGTGAGTCCTGTGCTAACAATTCACCCTAGATCAGGGATCTCAACTCTGGTCACCCAAATGTTCATAGCCTTCAACTCCCAGAAGTCTTAGTACGCAATAAATGGCTAGAGAATGACGATAGTTGCAGTTCAACATCTGAGGGGGTCATCTGAGGGAGTTTGATATGCTTGCCCTATTAGAGTATTATGGGAGACGTAGCCCACATCATCTGGAGTGCCGAATGTTGCCAACACTTGAACTAGGTGAGCATCCCTAATCCTGAATAGGAGGCACGTTCAGTGTTGATACAATGCCTTTAAAATCAGAGATGTAATGTGAACTATAATGTCCCATGGACCTGAATTTTTCCATAGATGGAAAAAAAAACCTGTGGATGAATGTGGGATGAAAGGGTTAATATATAATGTCCTGGATCCAGAATGTTTCCCTTTTTTCTCTCTTTGTTTATGTGGGTCACAGTATTGTTAGTGCATGTTGATAGATGTTTTCAATTATTTATTGCGCTTCTGAACAGGCAATTGGCATTCCAAGCAGGGAATCAGATGCAGCCTGTAGCTGGGATTACCAAAGGGAGAGAAGGGGGAGATTGGGGTTTATTCACTAAACGGTGATGTTTGGTAAATGCAAAAATCGTAATTTTGAAAAATATAGAAACTCACCAAAACCTCACCAGTCATTATTTCTATATATTACGTCATGATGTTTTCCAGGCTAATCTTGCTTATATTTTGTTCTGTTGCCACATCACAGGTAGGACCTGTATGGGGAGTTGTGATTAATAATATCACACTAAATCCACCAAAAACTGGGAATTTGGTTTAGATATGAGAGGAGTTATTGTACTTTCCACCGTCTATATCAGTAGCTGTCTCCACCCCTCAGATTTGATTTATTTTGCTGCATTCCAAAATATATCCTTACATGTATTTAAGGGCAAGGCAAAATGTGGGTTAGGGTGCAGTTAGTTATGCTGGATGAGTTTAAAAAAAAAAAAATAATCTCCTCCATGTTTTCCTTGTAAGAGCAATGAAACTGTACAGGACGCCATGATTTAGCAGTGTTATTCAAAGTGAGAATACATAGTGATTTTCAAATTAACCAAAAGCATAGCTGACATTTATGCAGTAAACTCAGCAACTGGCAAATATGAAGTTAAAGGGACACTCCACTTGCCAAATCAAATCACTATTTAGTAAATATACACCAGTGATAAAAACATATTGCAAAAGCTTCTGATCTCTTGTCAGCAGCCTTTTTCAAACCTTCCACTTCTAACCCCAACCAGACTTTCTTTGGCTGTCTAGTCACATACTTCCCAATGCAGCTCAATAAAAAGTCTTTGCAAGGCAGGTGCTCAGGGCAATTGCTGCCTCTTGAGTTTAGCTCCACTGGGCTAACCAAACCAGGAAGTAACATTACCTATTGTCTACTTGAATGCCAGGGGGTGTAACTATTTTAATTTATAAAAGTGCCTATTTCTATTGAAATCTGCTATTTTTGTAAAAATAGAAAAAAAGAGGACACACTCTTCACACATAAAGCCCTTCAGCAAGCTAAAGTGATTTAGGGCTCTGGAATGTCCCTTTAAGTAAGCACCAGGATTGGCACATTGCCACTTCCTGGTCTGGGCAGAGATCACAACAGGAGCTAAAAAACAAAACAAAAAAAAAAACCTGGGGATTTGCAACCCCTATTTGTTTATATTTTATTATTGCTTTTAATAAAGAAGAATTTAGAAAAATATATTTTAATTTCTTTTCCATTTATAATAAACTCATGACACGTGTCAAAACAAGTGGATTTGCGTATATGTATTTAAATATGAATATAGCAATCTTAATGAAATTATCGCTTAATAAACTTGCCTTTCTTCTTTTAGTCTCCGTTAATGGTTCTAAATATAGAACATTAGTCGGATGTCGTAGTGTCATTACTCCATATTGTCTTTCCGCAGCAGTCATTGATTCCTGTCTTGTCTCTCTCAGGTAATGAAGTGCATTGTTGAAGTCATTTCTGATACATTGTCAAAGCCAAGTCCAATTCCAATCAGTCAGGATTGCCTGGAGACTCTCAGAGGGGGTGAGTAGATTCAATCTATATCATTACATATTGCTCTGCAATATTGCATATGGTGGATTGATTTTTTTAAAGGCACAATCCATTATAGAAGTGACCCCATTATTCATAGTGCATTATATAGATGGAGTAAATAATTAGTAAGAAAGATAAACTGCCTACCACCTAGAACATAAAGTTGCTGTACCTATATACCTATTATACCTATATAGACCATCATTGTGGTAGCAGTTCCTGTCCTATTGTGTTTTACACCCCACCTCCTATAGACGGTAAGCTCGTTTGAGCAGGGTCCTCTTCAACCTATTGTTCCTATAAGGTTTCGTAACTGTCCTATTTATTGTTAAATCCACCTTCTGATAATATTGTAAAGCGCTACGGAATATGCTGGCGCTATATAAATATCGGTAATAATAATAATAATTTATAAGAATTTACTATTAGAACTGCAACTACACATCCAATAAAACCATGCGGGGAAAGTGTTTATGGGATAAGATAAGGCATATGGTAAACAACCCATAAACTGGAAAACATTTTAAAATCCAAAGACTCATACTAGGATGAGTCACCTAAATACATAATAAGAGTCTGTATAATCAACAATCAATAAAAATAGGTTGTCTTCCTTTAACCCCTTAAGGACACATGACATGTGTGACATGTCATGATTCCCTTTTATTACAGAAGTTTGGTCCTTAAGGGGTTAACAGACAAAAAAAAAAAACCAAAAACCACACCCAGCATGGGGTCTCCATAGAGAGTAGCACAAGTCTACGGAATCGCCATTTGGGTAAAGTTTTAACCAGCCAGCCACGAGGTGGTATCCGAAAACAGTGCCACAGAAAATGAGTCAACGGCAGGTCTTCTTTTGGGGGCTCCTGTGCGAACACTGACAAAATCTTCCCCTCGCTTTTAGGGAGCAAATGTTCCCCCTGTTCAGTAGTTCCTTTCTCCCAAACGCCATTCCCCTAACTGTTCCATTAGTTGAACGGGCAGTAGTACAAAGTTCCCCAGCGTTCAGAGTAGTGTAGCCGACAGAGTTCCATATACCCAACGACCAAGTACCGCCACCTGCGTTCTGGAGACAAAATGGTCGCCACTCTTTGGAGCATGGGTATTCGCATATGCGAATGGCGGCCACCTAGGGAAAGCACTTGGGGTAATTGCTCATTTGCGGTTAACAGCCAGGTTAACAAATCCATTTCGCTACACTTAAATAGATAATTAGGAGTTTCTCTCATTATGCTGGTATTAAGCGTCTGTCTTTCCAAATTATGTTACCTGCAGCTATCATTACTTTTAGCCAGCCATTATACCTCAACAACTACTTAGACTTACATGTTCACTACCATATAAAAGCAGAATAAAGATATTAAAATTGAATATAGATGAACATGATCCAGTACCCTCTGATAATTTTGGCACCAAAACAGTGGCGTTTTATTATTACATTATCTCGGCTAGGAATGGACTCATGAGGACTCAACACTATCAGGTTTATGCACTAAAGTTAGTATTCAAAGTGAATATAAAATTTAAGGCCAAAATAATCAAACTGGAAACATTCAAATGTTTCCCGTTCATCTGTAATGGCTGTAATTTTGCAATTCACCAAAGATTTGTGACAATTCTCTCTTTAGTGAATAACCTGGTTTCACTTTCCACAACCAGGGACCCAGCTATGTTTGTCAGATCCACCATGTTTTTCTGAACACAAATCACTTGAAAATATTGATGGGCAACACATTAAAATTGCTGCCCTGCAGTATGTAGCATTCAAGTGTTGCAAGTACAATACAGCAATGAATTCTGCATTCTGCACTGTTAATGTGCTACCGGTTGGTATAGAGTCATATGTATGAGAATCAAGAACGCTTTTATTGTCTGACTTCTTTCAATTGCAGCTGGGGTCCATAAACATAGTCTTAGTGTCTTCTCAGAGGTTTTCACCAGATGTGTCTGTTCTAACCATTAAAGACTACTTTGCAGGTTTATTGGACACAAAGTAAAATGGAATTGAATTTTCTTTACAGATGAACGCATTATTTCCATTCTACGACACCAAAACCTCTTAAAGGAACTTCAGGAACTCGCAACTCAAGGTAGTAAATTTATTTTGTAACCTGTAGGCACATGTACAAGCATTGTCTTGCTAATTAGGCAGCATAGAGTGTTAACCCCTTAAAGGCTATAGACGTGCCGAGTTTTTCATGATTTTAATCAATTAGCCCAACAGCCATGTTCTTAATAGGTTTAGAAATCTGATTGACAGAACTAATCAGCAAGCATGAAGTGGACTCTGGAGACTGTTTGCTAACTAACAAATTGCAGTGAATTACAAACTATAGTTTCTTAAACAAACTGCTATTAGCTTACAAAATGCAATTTAAAAATAAAAATCACCATTACAATTTATTGATGTTTTGTTGTTAGTAAAGTAACAATACTCATGCTGAAACCTGCCTTAGAGAGCCATTATAAATTATATTCTGTTACCATTTTACACACAGTGATAAAGTGGGATTGAGCCACTAAAACCAGACACATTCATATTAAAGGACCACTATAGTGCCGGGAAAACAAACATACTCGTTTTCCTGGCACTATAGTGCCCTGAGGGTGCCCCCACCCTCAGGGACCCCTCCCGTTGGGCTGGATGGAGAGGAAGGGGTTAAACTTACCCCTTTCTCCTCTCCGGCTGAATACGCAATGCTTTCCTATGGACGCTGGCGTCTTCTCACTGTGATTTTCACAGTGAGAAACGCAGAAGCCCTCTAGCGGCGGTCAATGAGACAGCCACTAGAGGCTGGATTAACCCTAACATAAACATAGCAGTTTCTCTGAAACTGCTATGTTTATAGAAAAAAGGGTTAAACCTAGGTGGACCTGGCACCCAGACCACCTCATTAAGCTGTAGTGGTCTGGGTGCCTAGAGTGGTCCTTTAAATCAGTTTGCTGCATGGAAGCTTCAAAGGTTATCACAACCAGCTGCATTGCTAGCCAAATATATCATATGGCTGTGTGATTAATTAAATGATGAATTAAACTATAGCAACACACAATATGAAAACCAGCCTGAAAAAAACACTAAAATGCATGTAACTTGTGCACAACAGGCCATGGTGAGAATTCCAACGATTTAGAAATGTCCATACCTTGATAAAATGTGGGGTGTTTTAAATTGCAGGTGTTGTCTTCAGTAGACTGAAGGAACACAGTTCAAATGCTCTGAACTTTGCTGGAAAGCACTGCAGGAAGTGATGTGTGCAGCAGTAAATTGTTTCCCTCAACAATTTCAGTTTCATATTCTTTTTACCTGTTTGTCACGTCACCATACCTGGCATATGTTTTCCTTTGAAAATAAGTTATAACGTGTGATCATACATTTAATATACTGCAAGTATTTTTATTTACATGGCATCACCCTATTCCAAAGTGTTGAACAAACTTAAAGGGACAATCCACACTGGAGTGACCCATTTGTTTAAAAAAAATTTTTTTAAGATATGTAATAAAATAACAGTAAAAATATAGGGATTCACATTTCAAGTTCCTACATTAGGTTCAAATCATTAGCTTACTGAGACTTTGCAGCCTCCGTAAACTCAGACGAGGAAATGACAAGCATGATGCACACTTAACTTTCTATTAAGCAGCTGGTTCAAACAAATTAAATTCCTTTTAATCTACGTCTAAACAGCTGGATGTGTCTGGAATTCATTGAATAAGACTCCACATGTAAATCTCGGATGGATTGATTTGTTGAGGCATAGATTAAAAGGAACTTGATTCGTTCATAGCAGCTGAAAAGAATTTACGGCCCCAAATTATGATCTATAGCACTGCTGAGAGTATCCTATAAGATGTGCTTTATGGTACTGTATTTGTAGTTCAATTGTTGGCTTTCTGCTGAAGATGATGACTCCTGAACTACGACTCCTAGCCATGACATCATGTATAGTGATATTTCTGGAACAAAAAAAAAATTGCAGGTTAAAAAGGAGTGACAGAAAGGGATGGCTTATGGAGCATATATTTTAAATGAATTATTAAATAACTAAATAACATAAGTTAGCAAACAAATTATAACCTAAACAGTACTTTATACCCCAGGTATGGTGCCTTGAGACCCCATTAAATTAGATATTCTAGCAGAGGCGTACCTAGAGTCTCCAGCGCCCTTGGTGAGGAGCTGTATCAGCATTTGTATCACAAATGGTTTTGGGCTGCCTGTGTATAATGGGACTAACTGTGTTTGTCTTTGAATGACAGTAATAACCATTGATGAGTAGATAGAATTACGTCATTACTGTGACCTGTATAAAAGTTGGTTAATCCTAGAGCAAAACAAACTAAAATTATGTGTTTCACAATATGTAATCCTGGGTACATACATATCATCTACTCAAAAGCTTCACTTCATTACTTACTGTCTTAGTAGTAATGCCACTGCCTAGAAAGTCCACTCCACACGCTCCCTCAGTCCCTATGCAAACTGCAGTCTCAGCCAGGTAGGTAAGGTGTCAAACCTTAGATGTAGCCGCATTATCCACTCTGCTCACTCTCTCCCTAGTCCATCTGCATTCTCCAGGCAGGGTAAGATGTGACTGCACTCTCCACTCACTTCTACCCCCCCTCCCATTCATGTCTATTCTACCCCCTTCTCTGTTCCCCTCTCTTCCATGTGTCTCCCACTTCCATCCATTTATGTATCTCATTTTCTATCCATATCTCTCTCCCCCTTCTGTCCATTCATGTATCTTATTTTCTATCCATGTCTCCCCCCCTTCCATCCATGTCTCTCCCCCTTCTTCTCCCTTCCATCCATATTCCCCTGTGTCTCTCTTCCATCCATGTCTCCCTCCCCCTTCCATCCATTTTTTCCTCCCCCAGTCCATCCACACCCTTGCCAACCCCTTTCATCCATTGCTCTCCCCATGCTAACCTCCCCATTTTCATCTATATCTCTCCCCTTGCCAACCTCCCTCCTTTCATCCATTTCTTCCCCTTGCCAACTTTCCCACTTTCATCATATCTCTCCCCTTGCCAATCTCCCCCCTCTATCCATATCTCTTCCCCCTCCTCAATATTCCCCCCTTCCTCAATATCTCCAGCCCTCTTGCCAACTTTCTCCCTTCCTCAATATTTCCCCCCCTTGCCAATCTCCCTCCTTCCTCAGTATACCTTCCCTCCCTTCCTGAAATCTACCTACCTATGCAATCCTCGTCCCACACAGCACTCAAAGAGTGAAAGGCTCTCCTCACTTGCCTCCCTCCCTGCTGTTTTGCCTGTCATGGCAGGGCAGGGGAGGGGGGCAACCAATGTCCGGAGCGGTGCGCTGTCTGTGTCATGCTGAGCGTAGGGTAGTCACGTGACACCCGGCACTCCAACGCAGACCATGAGGGGGAGGCGCTCCCTCTGTGCACTGTGCGTGCAGTTCCTTGGTGTAGCCGAACGCTGCCTGGGGCGCCGGGGGGCAGCCTGAGCAGGGGGACGCAAAAATCACTGCTCACACTGACAATTGATTTTTGCTCCCCCTTCGGCCTTAGCGGGCGTCGGTCTCACCAACTCCTCTGTATGCTAGCATCTAATGTGCAGTAGGATATCTATCCTGATTTCATGGATAGGACTAATTTCTTCATGGTGAAGGGCATTGCAGACTTTGTCTCTAGTGTATGAAACCAAGCCTTTTAAATGGCATTAGAATGAGGGTAGAATCATTAACTGCTACAGTGCTGAGACAAGCACTGACCATTAAAGGAGCACTATAGTGCCAGGAAAACAAACTCGTTTTCCTGGCACTATAGGGTCCTTAGGTCCCCCCCACCCTCATGGCCCCCCTCACGCTAGGCTGAATGGGTTAAAACCCCTTTTAATATTAATTGTTTTATTTAAAATATTAATATTGTAGAATAAATAGCGTAACTATTCACTAGGAGGATAGAATAACATAGGGGAAACAAGAAGGTTGCAATTAGATAGGTGAAGAGAGAAAGACAAGAGTATTATTCTACAGCTTTGGGGCCCTCACGATTAATAACTATATCGAGGAAAGATAAAAGTAATTAAGTGTATATGTTCAAATTGGTTGAGACTAAGGACAAAGAAAGGGAAAAAAATGTCATAGGGAACATTAAATTTAATTGCAAATCGTACTATATATGTGACCACGCTCATTTTAAAGAAAGGGAAAGGAAAGAGGAAGGAAGGAGAAAGGAGAAAGGAAAGAGGGAAAAAAGGGGGGTTTAAATATCTGCTAATATGAATAGGTAATAAGGAAATATTTGATTTGCACATAAATTAACGAGGAGAATATAGACACGTTAAATTATCTTAAATAAAGAAGTAAATGCACATGAAATAAAATTAAGAAAGTCTAGAAAAAGTTTATTAAAGTAAGAAAGAAGAATCAATGCGTACAAGAAAATGATTTCTTTATAAATTTTTTAAAAATATCTGCTTTCCGTTGCCCTACAGTACAGCTCTTGATAGAAGAGCTGACGGAAAAAGTGTCTAGCAAGGGAAAGGGGGTAAGACACTATTTGGGACAATGACGCTCGTAAGGGTTTTTCAAGAGTCATTTAAAAAAAAAAAAAACGTTTTTTTTTGTTATATGGTTGTATTTGTTTTATATGTTGAGTGGATTGTGCGTGGCCAACCTGAGGAATTATGTAGCATAGGGAGGATTAATGTTAGAGGGGAATAAGATTAGGATTATAACTTTGAACGTTAAGGGTTTGAATACTCCACAAAAATGTAAGCTTTTAGTAGATCATTTATGGAAAAAGAAAATTACTGTCGGATTTATACAAGAAACACACTGGAAAGCTGGAAACTCAAAAATGAAAAGTTTCAATTATCCAACTCTTGTCTCCTCAGATTATAGCTCTAAAATAGAGGAGTTGCAATTTTTATTTCAAAGACTGTAACTTCTAAAGACCTATGTAGAGAAGTGGATACGAATAGCAGATATGTGTTCTTGATCTGTGAATTGCAGGGGAAAATCTACTCACTACTTAATATACATGCTCAAAATAAACAACCTGAAAAATGTATTAACATATTAACCAAGTTCGAAAACAAGATACAGGGGTCCTTTATAGTTGGAGGAGACCTTAACTGTGTGGTAGATGTATCAATGGATAAAAAGGTTCCACAAAAAAGGAAACAACAAAATATCATTAAAAAATTGGTTCTGCAGAATGTCATATCTAAATTTAATCTATATAACATGTGGAGAGTAAAACATTCTGATGAAAAGGAGTTCACTTTTTACTCTAAACCTTACTTGTCATATTCTAGAATAGATTACTTTTTGGTTAAAATACAGTTAATTCAACAATGTTGCCTAATTAAAATTGAGGATATACCCTGGTCGGACCATTCGGCTGTGATTATGGAAATAGGATTAGATGCTAATGAACCATGATCACAATGGAGGCTGAATGAGAGATTATTTTCTGACTCTAAAACTATTGATTACATGTCAGAGAGGATTAAATTATACTATAAAGAAAATACGACACAAGAAATCTCAAACCAAATCTTATGGTGTGCCTTTAAGAGTGTAATAAGGGGTTATATAATTAAATTGGGGTCTGAAAAAAAAGGGATCAAGGCCTATCTTTAAATCAACTATACCTTGAATTCTATAATTTCAATAAAAAAAATAAAAAAATCTCCCCTACAAAGGAGTTTGATCAACAAATATCAGAAATATCCAAGAAGATCAATACTACTTTATTGGCAAAAGTGAATTTCGCTCTACAAAAGCTAAATCAGAATTGGTACCATAAAAGCAACAAAGCTGATAAAATGCTTTCCAATAGACTAAAAAATAGAAAAGCTAGATCGAGAGTCGAAAAGATCATGGTAGATGGTCATAGTTATAATGACCCAAAGTCAATAGGTAATGCCTTTAATAAATTCTATGCACAACTTTATAATCTCTCCTCCAGCCCCCAGGATTTAGATATATCTGAATATCTGGATAGGATTAAATTGCCAACTCTTACAGATGGCCAGGAGAAAGAATTAAACTTACCTTTCTCTGAATCTGAGGTTAGTCTGGTAATTAACAGGCTTAAGCTGAATAAAGCCCCAGGTCCTGACGGGTATACTAATTGGTTTTTAAAGAAATTTAAAAATTAGCTATTGCAACATCTAGTAGATACATTTAACGAGATTAGAGAATCGGGTCTCCCTTTGAAAGAATTATTACAGGCTAATATCTCACCGATATTAAAATCTGATAAGGACCCAACTAATCTGGTTAATTACCGGCCTATATCTCTTATAAACTCAGATATTAAAATGTATTCTGCTGTCATTGCAAATAGACAATCAATTATTCCATCTTTAATTCATCACGACCAAATAGGTTTTGTTCAGAATAGAGATCCAAGTAATAACACTCGAAGATTGACTGCCCTGATTGATTATGTAACAAGGAGCAAGATCCCTATGCTGGTCCTGTCACTGGATGCTGAGAAGGCATTTGACAAGGTCAGCTGGAGTTTTATGAACCAGACTCTGGACAAATTTGGATTTGTTGGCTCCATTAAAACTGCAATAATGGCTCTTTATTCTAGTCCAACGGCTAAAACCGTGGGCCCTGGCATCTCCGCAGTTTGGTTTACAATTTCTAACGGGACCAGGCAGGGATGTCCCCTGGCCCCGCTTTTATATATTTTGACTCTTGAACCGCTCACTGTGAGCATAAGAAACAACTATCAAATTAAAGGAGTTATTCTGAATCGTTCTGAATTTAAGACCAGCCTATATGCTGATGACATAATATTAACATTGTCTGATTTGGATATATCACTAGGGGCCTTGTTTCGGGAGTTGGAAGACTATGATAGAGTTTCAAACTATAAATTAAATATTGGTGAATCCCAAGTTATGCCCATAGATTTAGATTTTACGACAATTAATAGATTATCAGTTAAATATCCCTTCACTTGGTCATCACAAGGTTTTAAATATCTTGGGACTCATTTCTCTTATAGCTTAAAAGAAATGATCGATAAAAACGTGGATAATCTATTAAAAGATACCAGTGATATTGAGTTGAAGTGGTCTGGGTGCCTATAGTGGTCCTTTAATGTAAAATCTCTACAGTACAATCCACTAAATAACAAACTGCAGCAAACTGTATGCTGAATTTATAAATGTAAGTAATGTAAAATAGCTGAGATTTAAACATTCTTTAACTCATTTATAGCAAGAGCTTGGCTATTTATGTCTAAATGTCATCATTTATCTTGTTTAAATTCACTACAGTCCTTTGTTTAGTGAATAAACCTATCTTCTCATTTAGGCTCCCTTGTGACATCCTGACCTGCTTTAAAATCCCAGAGGTGCGGGTGGTAGAGTGTATTGTCATGGAGATATCAGAATCTATCCCTAGGAAAGATGTGTAGATGCTTTTTAAAGGCAACAACAACTCACTTGTCTTCACAAATATCAACCTACACTCCTCCCAGATTGTTGGAGATGTGGTAGGGCATTAGGCTCATTTCCCCACATATGGTGGGACTGTGATGAGCTCAATCCTATGAAATTAATTCTATTCGAGCTAGTATATTTTATTCTTAAAGCACAAACTGATATAACTGCCCAATTGTTTTTGTTTCATTTAGATATGCCAAGGGTTAATACAAAATGTAAAATTCTCATGATTCACATTTTCATGGCAATCAAAATAGTTATGGCCAGGAACTGGAGAAACATAGGTCCCTTAAAATGGCACGAAATTCGCACACAAGTGGATTTCCAATATAGGATGGATGCAGGTATATCATTAGATAGAGTATCCAAAGAGAAATATGATGAAATTTGGGCCCCTTGGGTTAGATATTTAAGATCAAAAGTTTAAATCCCATACCCCCACTAAATCCCCAATACCACCATCTTTTTTTTTTGTTAGGCAAGTCAGTGTTTTCTGTACGAGTATGAATGAGGTCATTTTGTCTATCTTTTTGACCTGAACACATTTATTGTACAAAATGGAAAAAATTGTTTTTTATATTTGAGATGCATAAACTGTAAACATAGCAATATAGTACAGTAATCTAAATTGAAAGTATGTTATATGTTTAATTTATGTGGAAAAATTATTTATGTGGAAAAATAAAGATTTAAAAAAAAAAGGCAACAACAACTTATTCAGTTAAGACTCCTCATACATGCTATAAAACGTAGAAAAATCAAAATAAAATCATGAAAAATTGATGCATACACAGTATTCTGAAGTTTATATGCAGTATCTTGTCCTTGGCATTCATGTCTTCTTTAAGATCTTAAAGTTATCCTGAAAACATTGTGTCAGAGAGCTTATCTGTAAATTGGCATAGTATCATGGGAAATATATACACAAGTATTATATATTATTTATATACTTTACCCTACACGTTGCAATACTAACCTGTGTACTGCCTCCTTATAGGGTACATGAAAAAATCATATCCTCCTCCTGTAAACCTCTGTAAAATAAAAAGGGGGTTTGTAAAACTTTAATAATAATTAAGGTAGGGCCTTAAAGGGACACTGTAGGCACCCAGATCACTTCAGCTCATTGTAGTGGTCTGAGTGCTGTGACCCTTTTGCACTTAGTGCTGCAATGTTTACATTGCAGCACTAAGTCTGCCCTCAGTGGCTGGCTCTTCCGGAATCGTAACAGACTTTTGGTCCGTTATCTGACACTGGACGTCCTCAAGCTTTCATTAAAATCCAACAGGTCTTTCAAGACAAACTCCAAAGTATCAGGGAACAGTGATCTTGCATAGTGTAGCTACTGTGTGCAATGAATTACTGCATAGTTCAGTTTCGTGAATATATGGTTGGATATACAGAATATTGAGAATGTGCTGTATTTCTTTGGGTGTACAATGGCTAAAGGGTTTTCTGTATTTCTTACCAGGAAAGTAGCAAGTTTTCTTTTGTTAACCATTTGTGTTCCAGAGTATGTATTTTCCTGCAGAGGTGGCACATAACTAAACATTAAGTTTATGCTATGATTTAGAAAGGGGTTGGTCTAAAACATTGACCTTGGCCAGTACATTAAACTATCCTATCTTCTTACTTTGTCACGTGTTGGCCCAGGTGCCACGGAGAGGGTGCAGAAGAAGAGTTTTGAAGAGGAGCTTTCTGGTGTCCTTGCACGGCAGAATAACAAACCCATCCTTTCCGGTTAGTGTCAATGTGACCTGTGTGAGTCTAAATAACATGGATCCTCTTTCTTGCAACCTTGCTGTAAAAAAATACCATGTGTTTAGATTGCAATGTTTCACCTTATCCTCAGAGGAGCGATGGGTGACCTTCTCAGCTCAGGTTGCTAGGGTATTATAGGTAGAAATCAGAAATCCAAACCCATCATTGCACTTAGTTTAAATAGCTGACATATACCGGATTGACCGCAAAGAAAAAGGAGATTCACTATTTCATGTATAATTCCTTGTCCAAAAACACACATTAATAGTTAGCCCTTAAGGACGAGTGTTACCTAAACACAATTTTTTTCAATTATAAGAATCCTTTCATCAAGTTTTTTTTTTTTCATCAAGTTTTTTTTCACATTAAATATATATATACAAAATTGTAAATTAAACATAATTTGCCATAAAGGAAGTGCAAAGCTTAGAGGAAATGTTTAGAAAGGCTGTGCAAGTCACATGTAGGAAAATGTGACTAGGGCTGCATAAACAAAGTGATTTAACTCCTTAATGGCAGAGAATTGAGCAGTGAGACTGCAGGGCAACAAGCATGTTTTACTGTTTGTATTCAACTGCAATTTGCATCTCTCATTTATTGCACCAGCATATTGTATACCGTTTTTTAAGACAAAAACAGCTTTCATTTGATGTGACATATACATATATAGATTTTTATTATAAATTCCCACCCCCCAAAAATGCAAACCATTTTTAAAAAAAATGTTTTTTTAAAACTTTTTAAAAAATCTTTTTAACAGATTTGGCAATAACATATGCATAATTAGTGCCGCTTAACAAAAAGTAATTCAAAATAAATTAATTTCTGTCCTGATTACAGAGTGCATATTATGTCTAGGATTTCAGTTTATTTTGGTAGTTACAGGTCACAAAATAAAATTTCAATGTGGAGCCAATTTTAGAATTTGGTATATTTGTCTTGCAAGCTTAGTAGCTGTCACAGAAAACAGAATTGGCACACAAAAGTATATAGTTATATAAAGTGACATCTACACACATACATATAACAAAAAAAATCATTGTGTTCAACGAAATGCTCTGAGTACAACGATACAATGTATGCCTTTTCCACTACCCTGTGAATCTAAAGCGCCATATAAGAGAACTGACCTTTTCAGTTTTTACAGTTAGAATTTTGATAGATGAATTTGAAACAATACTACAATTAATTCTAACCTAATACGTATTCTAAACCTAATCTTAATCCATGATCATAATCCTTAATCTAATCCTAATCCCAAGGATTTCTTTCCCTCTGCTAATTTTAATACTGATATAAGCAAAGGGATTCTAAATTAAAATAGAGAGTGGTACATTGCTGCCATCTACTGGCTATTTTCAGTATTGCAGTCTCCTATCTCTAATACTAAATATAGGATGCAAAATGAATTGCGATGAGTAACTGAACTGGGAAAGGTGGAGAGTGGAGGGAGACCCGGCAAGAGGTAAGTTACTTTTAATGTGTCCGCACCGGTCTGGCTGTGCGACAGGAAACACTTGATTAGAGAACAAACCATAATAGATTTTAAAGGATAATTTTATTATCATTTGTTTTCTCAGTTAATAATGTCATCATCACATTGTACCCTCCAAATGGTATTAAATATTTTGTGAAATATTCTGCAACTTTAATTCATAACAATGAAATTATGAATAAATAACTTTAGAACTGGGTCAAAAATCTGTATCCTCTAATAGGATGCACCTGCATTGAGCTCCAATCCGCAGGCTACACTAAGTGCCTCTGGCAGTAAAAAAAATCAGGGTTTACACTTGCTCCACACGCATCTGCTGATACCTGTAGACATGGGGAAGAGCTCCAAAAAGCTACAGGCGGCACACGGAGGAGGTTCCCGAGATATCGGGGAATACATGGCCCGCGGCCTACAGCGAGCGGAGCCGAAGATGGCGGCTGCACCAGTTGAGGAGCGGGAAATCAACGCTCTTGATGATTTTCCCACGGCGGCCCCCTATAACTTCTTCCATGAAAGGAGATATAAAATCACCCATGAAAGAGATGAAGCAAGTACTGGCTACAGAGGTGGGGATAGTGAGCGGAGAGGTGTGCACCCTAGGAGGCCGAGTGAAGGAGGTGGAAGGAGAAGTGGCAGAGTTCCAGCAATTCAGGACTGACACCACAGACAGCCTCACAAGCCTCAGGCAAACCTGCGAGTCTATGCAGGCCAGGAAGGCATCCCTGGAAAACAGCAGCCGCCACAAACATATAAAAAATAGAGACATTCTCGACGCCATAACCAAGGCTGAACTGCCAGTCTATATAAGCCTTTGTTTCTCCACCTGCTGAAATAAAAAATCCACCTCTGCTTCACCAGTGGCTGGGATTTCCTGGGTCTCTAACCCCCCCTGGAGCGCAGATTAGGGGTCCTGTGATACAATTACACAGCTGTCCCACATGGGCGACAAATTAGCCATCATGAAAGCCACCAGAAGCATACCAACCTATCCATTCAAAGGCCACGCTCTGACCTATCAAGACCTATCCACAGCCATGCTTAGATGGTGAACCTCGCTTAGCCACGTCACTCGAATACTCTGTGACAAGGAGATAAACTATCGTTGGGTCAACCCTAGATCCCTAATAGTGGAACGCAACAGAGTGGTCCTGAAAATGGTGAAAGCCACAGAAGCAGCTGTATTCCTCGGAGAGCTGGAGCTCACACTGCAACCTATCAGCAATCAGAGCCAGGGAGTGGAAAAAGTGGCTGCCACCCACATGACCGTGCGGACTGGCACTAGGCCTATGTACAGGGGGATCCACGTTTGACGGTTGTGGGCCTTCTTTCCTTTCCCTGACGCTAAAAGCACTGGATAATATGAGTCTTTGCACATGAAGGGACATACTGAAGACACAATTGGCTGTTCACTAATGGCCCCATGAACCTTGCATTACCACTATGCATATTTCACAGTTTATTCAACCCCCAATCCTTAGCTACGATATTAGCCTAGTTACCTAGTTTCAGATTTTATTTTATGTTATTACTATACTTACACTACGTAATTAGCCTGGTTAATAACTCATATCCTCGCGAGGCAGACAGAGCCAGTGTTGGCTTGGAATAGGGTTCCAGATTGCACCATTATCTTTACGAATACAACCAAGCTTTCTTAGCATTCCTTAGTCCATCATATGGCTGAAACCTTCTGAATGCTCCATTTGGGAAGCTAGATCAAGTGGGTGTGGTGTAATATACCGATGTGTACATGTATAAGCATATGTAGCGTGTAGAAGCTGTAACACACTGATTTGATGGTAGTCGGATGCCCAAATGTTTTTCATGTTATCTAAAAACAATGCAGTTACTGTCTCATTGCAATACAATACATCTGCATCATATAAATAAAGAATTAAAAATAAATCGTATCCTCCTCATGAGCTTTAAGACATTCTACAGGTGGTTGGTTAAGAGTTCAACTTTTATAGAACTAGAAAATGTAATTTCTGGTGTGCATGTCTAAAAATTCAGCCATAATACTGTAAGAAATAACTATGAATATCTTCTTCTCAGAAAAATTAGATGAAATCCCTCCAGGGACTCACAAGTCTTCACTTGGTGATACATCATCAGAAAGTACTGAAAGCAAGAGGCAGCCAGAAGAGGAAGAAAAAGCAGGTTCCGAACAAGAAGCCCCAGAAAAAAGCCAAGAAGATACCAGCACAGAGGAGCTAGAGAGTAATGACATTGAAAAGAGAGAGGAGGCCACTGGGGATGAAGAGATAGACAATCATATCACCGACACTATCAATGATGAGGATCTGCCACGAGAAACTGAAGACAACACAAGCCATAATTCTAAGGAGACAGAGACCGAGAGCCTGACGGTGTCGAGTGAATCAATTGAGAGACAAGAGGATGCAAAGGAAAATCCAAAACAAGACAGTAATGAAAGCAAAGAGGAGGAGGATGATACCCAAAGAGATGACAGTATGTTTGATAAATTATAAATACTGTTCTCTACTATTCCTGCAAACACATACAGCATATTAAACAGCATTTAACATTTTTTTTTTGTTTAGATAATCCTCTATGGCCATCCATCATATAGATTTGAATGATAAAATAAATAATCAATTGCCCAGCCTTCTAGGGTAAGGAAAATCTATCCACAATTTGATCTAGTTAAAAACAACTGGTCTGTTTATTTCCAGTAGATATACAGCAAACAGGGATACTTCAGGAAGTACAAAATAAAACAGCCAGTGATACACACATAACAAAATTAGTACTTAACAAAAATAGAAGGCTTACCTCCGGGTCACAGAACAAATATATATACACCCCCCCCCCCCACCAAAAAAAAATGAGGAATACAACCAATCCAGTTAGGGACAAAAGGAGAAATATAGTGTAACGCCCTCTGATATCACAGATGTAGGAAAGTAAAATATTGTACTCACAAATGTGTGTAAAAACAACGCATTTTACTGCAGACATGCCACGGAGACCTGAGGAAGTTACTCTTCCTGGTGAATCGCGTAGGGCGGTTACTACCTGTCTCAGGATTGGTGATGTTTTCTAATATTTTCAAACTGCTTGTTCTCCCTATACTAGTCTGGAATTTGATTCATTGCCATTGCAGGGAGAGTTGTTTTGTCCCATGGCACATTCTTACACATGTTTGCGAGTGCAATATTTTACTTTCATACCTCTGCAGTATCAGAGTGTATTACACTATCTTTAGGATTAGCTGTATATATAATTTAGCTCATTGGCTGCAGGGGTGCTTAATTTCTTCATTAGGCAAAAAAAGAGTCAGTTAAAAAAAAAAAACCCTGAAAAAGCAAGATAAACAAGTATGTAGGGCGCTATATAAATTCTCTAAAATATGGGGTACCTTGATAACTATTTTACTTAGCAGCACTTTATAAGTTTATTAGCTGTAAAAACACTAAATATTAAAAAAATAAAATAAAGTGCACTGTGCCTTTAACACTAAATTCAAATCAAGCTGCTTAATATCAAAATAATGCTTATTGTGCAAAAATAGCAACAACCTGTGCAAATTTACTGCAAATCCAAAGTGCAACTTTCATTTCTAAGTGTGTACAAAAATGAAGTGCTCATTGTGCCAATTTACACACTGTATAAACTATTAATACTTCTCTTGCAATACTTAACCAGAGTACGTAGTTCTATATGAAAAATTAAAATATATAGTGTAAGATTGCAAATACACCATAATAAAGAAGTACCAGAAATTTATATGGCACTCACAAACATTGAGCAGGTAAGAGACTGCTCAGGCTATATGCGCTTTCGTTTATATCCAATATCTAGCTCTTGCTGCAAAAAAACAGTGGACAGCCAAACTATAGTTTAACAATCTTTATTGCAATTTTAAAAACAAGGACAGGCACGTCATAAAAACCACTATGTCTCCCCAGTCCCTTTGGCAAGTTTGATAAAAAAGTATTTGGTATTGCCAGTCGTCGGAACGGCGGGCGGGGTTAGTGACGTCCTCCGTATGACGGAATTGCATAATAGTGTAGTTACAAAAGGCATGATGACGCATTTTGCCTCTATTGGCTTCCACAGATCACACCTAAAACTACCCAGAGGGCATATCCTTCTTTCAATGTCCAATATTCCAGTCTTTTGATTGGTTACAATGTCCGAAACCTTATTTATGTATATGCAAATCTCATCTCCTTAATGCAATTAATCACTTCGTGCAAAGAAAGGGCCAGACTAAATGATACTCTATTGCAGCTAAAAAAAAATACAAAAATTATCACATAAAAAGTGATCGCATAAAAATTAAAATTAAACATAACACTTAGTTATGAGGATATATACAAGATTAATCTCCTACCTTTACACATTGAAAGGAGATTGTGAAATAATAGGACCGCACATAGACATGTATTCAAAATACCAAAAAAAAAGGATTTAAAAAAAAAACAAAACAGGATTTTTAAAAATCATTATAAAAAGTTAAAAAGATCAAATGCTACAAGTGCAAACAGCCTGGGAAACTGGCAATACCGAGGACTTTTTTTTTTTTAATCAAACTTACCCAAGAGACTGGGGAGGCATAGTGGTTTTTATGACGTGCCTTTAATTGTTTTTAAAATTGGACCTGCTCAACGTTTGTGAGTGCCATATACATTTCTGGTTCTTCTTTATTTTGGTGTATTTGCAATATCACACTACATGTTTTTATGTTTTTCTTTTTCATATTGAACTACATACTGTGGTTAAGTATTGCAAGAAAATTCACAGCCAAAATGTTGTATCCTTGTTTTGTTCTTGGACCTCAATAAATTCACTGATTCTTCACCCTACATTGTGAATATCTATCTTATTTCATGGCCAGTTGCAGATTTTTTCTATCTGTACAGTTCTGCATTACCAGTCCAGAGTGGTTACTTGAAATGCAATATAAATTAGTTAAAATGCCCCTAATTAAAATGTATTTTGAAATATAATGGATTTATTTCAAAATGACCAATTATTTTCTCTTTTCAGAAGAAAATGATTCTGACAAAGATGAGACCACATTAGAGGCTGAAAACGGTAATGAAGATGGAAAATCTGAAGCTGAAGCAACGCAGGAGGGTGGTAATTCCCACCACCGGGAGACTAAGAGTTATGAAGAAACATCTTCCAATGAACTTGAAGATTCCAAACGATTTAACAAAATGGATGAGCTTGCCAAACAGTTAACGTCCAAAAAATGGGTGGAGGAAAACAGCAGTGAGGAGGCCGCACACCAGACTGAAGGCACAAAATATGATGCTGGGAGCAAGGAGTCTGATGGACAGCGACCATGGAAGCACTCAAGAGAGGACAGTAGTGAAAGAGAAAATCAAATCGCCAATAAGCGAGACGCAGAAGAGAAGAAGGAGGAAGAAGGAAGTGCTAACAGAAAGACAGAGGTTTGTATGATAAGAAAAGAAATTCCTGGCAGCATCCTATTTGTACCAAAGCAAACTGGACAATATCCGATGAGAATTATTGAGGTGGTTTAAATAGGCATTCATATGATATATATCAAGGTTATAAAATACAGACTGAAGAATAGCACTCACCAAAAAATAGTTTTACATTTAACAAGACTACTTATATCCAATTTATTGAGGTCTAATGTTACAATGAGGATACGATGTTACAAAAAGGATACAATGTTTTGGCCTTTAATCGTACACAATTAAGTCCTCACGGCCAAAACGTTGTATCTTTGATTTGTCCTTTGGACCTCAATAAATTCACTGATTCTTAGCAAATAAATGCTGAGGATTCAGTTATAGAATGAGGATTAATTTATAGAATATGGCCCTATTGTGTTAAGCCCACCACTACATCACAGTACCCCAATATCTGTAGGTCCTGAACTAGTTTTAACATGGGAGATTAGCATGATAACTGTAATACGTACTGCTTAAACTGCTTCCAAAAACTCTCCTCAATTTATGTTTTTTTGTTGTCAACTCCAAAGAGGCACCTTTAGTGGATGGGTGAGGTGCTCAGCCAAATAGGAATCGAGTCTGAATTCCAAATATATACAGAAAAAAGGAGAATGGGGGTCACACTCAAAACATGCATTTCTGAATAGTAAGGTGTAGGACCCATCGATATTGGAGTACATAGTGAGACGTAGTGGTAAGTTTAATACTATATGGCCCATAGTGTAACTGAATCCCCATATTTGTTTGCTAAGAAAGGTGATTTTAAGTAGCATTGTAAAATTTAAAACTGTATTTTTTTGGTGCACACTGTTCCTTAGTCTGCATTTTGTAAATATTTTGGTCCTCTTTGGCAGCAGCACTACTTAGAAATCAATATTCTGGGTGTGCCACCAATTCCCCTTATTTATATATCAAGGTTATATCAATATTTCCAATTGTCAATATTACTGTTGAATCTTTTTTAAAAATTTTTATTTAAATGTGTCTACAGTACCCAGACCACTATATCCCAATTCATGCAAAGCTGCTAAACAATGTCATTTCTGTGAAGGGACGTAAACCTCTTAAGAAACCAAAATTTTAATTATTCAATGCTAAATATTATAAATATTATAAATTTTCAAAGTAATAATCCAGAGCTACTACAGTTTGACTTCTTATTTGGTATTCGCACCAATCCCTGCCTTCCCTGCAGTCTCCGCTCAGCTCTGATTTTTAAGCCCAGCTGTGCAGGTCTTCGCTTGTTGGCCCAGAGCAATCAACTGATGCTCTCCGACAATGAGCTGGCCCTGCATGGCATGGATTCGCTCAGATGAATTAACAGTTTCAGGCTGTTACGGTGGGACGTGGCACCAGGCAGACTACAGGTAAGAAATCAAACTATTTTTAAACATCTTTGACTAAACTATAATGGAGGGCTGCAAGAGCACTCTTGGCACTATAACCACTACAGTGTGCTGTAGTGGTTATGGTGCTTGGAGTGTTCCTTTAAGGATGGCCATTCATTCAAGAGAATTATCTTTGCTGGGTCATAGATCTAATTCCCTTAGCTGCTATTTGAGGGATGCTTTAATAACATGTTCCAACTCACCACCATGTCGTCAAGGACTTGTATATTATCGATAGGTGATCTGGAGTAACATGCTGATGGTAGATTCTATTCTTTTATTTAACAGGATCAGGAACTGGAGAGTCTAGCAGCTATTGAGGCAGAACTGGAAAGTGTTGCACATAAACTACATGAACTAAGAAGGGTTTGAATCTCAAGCTGTCCTACAAAGTCATCTGGATGTTTGCTACTGCACCTTCTTTCTTTATTTCCCAACTTAATCTCATTGTTACTGGACCGGCCAGAAGCACCTATCATAGGAGTCTCTGGCTGGAGTCTATTTAATCACACGCTAGTTTTACTCGATCACTGTAACACATCTGTCGTAGCGCAAAACCAATTATTCTGTTGCGGTCATGATACAAATTAAGTTTCCCCAGTTGTGAAGACCATTTCAATTTATGTTTAGGAAGGTTGGGGGTTACTGAATTTTTGAGATTATTGGGCAATGAGGGTATCTACATGCCATTCCATTTTGTTTTTTAATTAAGATTTTAAAAAAAATATGTTTTTTTAACCCATTCATGATAGATGACATGCTTGAACTGTCATGAAACCAAGGGATATTCCTAACCCTTGTCATGAAGGAGTTGAAGTCAATGCTTTTTAGAATCGTTTTCTTTTAATTAGACTAAACATATTGCAATAACTTGTTACTTTTTGATTAAATCTGGAAATGGGGTATATTCTGTATGTATAATAATAATGATCTATAGGGAAATAAAATGCAGGATTTTTTCTGTTCTGCTTTCTTTTGTTTATTTTATAATGTTTGTCAATCTGATTTTTTTAAGTCAATCATTCCTAAGCATATTTATTTATTTATTACTGGCATTTATAAAGTGCCAACAGATTCCACAATGCTGTACATACAATATGCACAGATAATACAAAAGGAAAAGAGGGCCCTGCCATGAGCGGAGATCTAGCCATTGTAGCTCCTTTTTACAAAGTGCTTCGATAGAGAGCCCGTGAGCTTACAATTTAAAGGATAGAATGTAGATTTGAGACAAGAGGTGGCAGGGGGAATTTGGAAGTGATGGCCTGAAAAAAGTAACAGAAGCTTGAAGCTGTCACTAAGATGTAAAGGGAAGTCATTTAGTCATCTTCTACGCTTCAGACAATACCTGAAAGTTGCAGGTAAACTCAGTACTGCTGTTTGCAGACTACATTTCCCATAATACTCAGGAGGTATGTAGGTATAGGACTAGTAAACATGTTTATGAGCATAATAAAGTGAAAATACGGAAAAACAGTCCAAACTCTCTCACTCCAAACTAGAACCATTTTTCAATGCACTAGATGGTAAGTAGGTCAATCCAGATGTTGTGGACTAGATCTCCACTGATGCTAAGCCAGCATTATGGCGGTCAGCGCATTATGGGAGGTGTAGTCCACACAAGTTGCGCTAGATCAAGCATGTCAAACTCAAAGGCTAACACCAGTCAAATAAACAAGGTTTAAGTTTACGTGGGCCGCAAAAAAACAAAAACGTAGAAACGTAGGTTTATTTAGAAAATTACAGTATAAAAAAGTTGCCTAACTGACACTGTATGTCCTGACGCTCGTAGGGCTTCAAAGTAAACAAAAGAGCAAATTTATTTTTAAGGAGATGTGCATTTGCATATAACCAATGTTTCAGTCCAACTACCTTGACATATTAAGAAAAGTTTGGTAATGGGATTAAAATGGTGAATGTATGCTGTTGTACAGCTGTAAAAAATAAATGAGTTATCTATCTAAATGAAGTCCTATGAGTGTGTTCTTCACTTTGGCTAAGATAATCAAACTTGATGATCTCAGCCAATCCAATGGGTTCCAATAGGAAAGCATTGGGAGGCTATTGTGTATGTGTGGCAAAAATCTGCATGTCCAATTAGCCTCTCCATGGTGAGCGTTCAGCACCTCCATGCAGACCCAATCTAATACACTGCCCCTCCCCCATTCTAATACACTGCCCACAAATCCAAGACATTGCCCCCAAGTCTAATACCCCCCTCCCACCACTGCCCGCCTACCTCCCCCAAATTAATACACTCCCCAATTTAGCACATTGGCCCGCTCCCTCACCCAAATAAATACAAAGCCCCCTCCCTAAAATTAATACACTGCCCTCCCTAACCCAATTTAACACACTACACAGGAAGGTCCCCCAAGCACCTCTTTCACCTCCTTAAGATGAGAGTCACCCATCCTCCAGTCCCAGCCCTGCTTTTCTTTGCTCAAGCAGGCCAGATGCTCCTCTGGCACTACAGGCAGGAGGGAAAGGGGAATGGCTGGCCTGCGGGAGCAAGCAATCAGCCATGGGAGAGAAGACAAGAATTAGACAGGAAATATCCTTCCTGTCTTGCAGCTGGTCACACAACGTGGCCCCAGGGCAGGTGGGTCGCAAATATATCCATTGTGGGCTGCGAGTTTGACATGCTTGCACTAGATAGAGAATGAATTAAATTACATGAAGAAATTTTTTTTTAAATAAAAATGTTAAAAATATCAAATTTGAAATTCCTGTATTTGCTGCAGGATTTTTTTGTCTACAGTTTCTGTTCTGAGGTTCCACAAATCAGGAAGTGTCTCAACAAGTCCTGATGCACTCATATTTTTGTATTGGAATACTGAGTAAGTCACAAGCATTTCAACACCACTACTCTTGACTACCCATGTGAGAGAGTGATAAATGATTGTACTTATTTTTCAAGCTAATTAAAAAACATGTTCTGTATGGATAGCTGAGGAGGTGGCTAACTGTAATGAAACTAATAATATTTTAAATTTGACTCGAGATTTTTAATCCTAAATTGTATGTGTAACACATGCCATAGTAGGCCAAGGTGTCTAAATGTTTTATAATTCAGTGCACTGATATGATATATCATATATTTACCTATTTGCATAAAATTCTGTTTTGAAATTACTACTTCTTCAAATGGAGTACAAATGACAGAGGACACTCAGTGGTCTCTCTTTACATATTTCCGGAAGGTTTGACTTCTGATAAACAACAAATAACAAAAAGAAGTAAACTAGAATGTTGATTGTGGCTAGAAGGTATTTAAATAGTTACTTACAATAAAGTGATAATATATGCTATACAGTGGTGTTTTGGTTTCAAAGGTAGGAGGAGGCCCCTGTGTCTGTCCCTGGGGGGAAATCGAGACTGTAAGTTAATGGGTATAGCGGGAGGTAAAAGAAGAAAGCCCCAGTTTGGGTGCAAACATGTCATATGAGTAAGGTGAAGTGAACAAATGGCAAGCGGCTCGAGAGATTCTTACTGATGGCAGGGCTCATCCATAGCAAAGCACATAGTGGCTCTTAACAGATTTCCACAATTTATCCACACTGACCTTGACCCATCACCACTCTCAGCAGGTGTGTCAACTTGTAAAACATATTTAGGCCCAGTACCGCCAATACCCACTCCCACTTTGGCAGAGTTAGTATTGGGTATTTCAATCTCGAGTTCCGGGATCCCCAGACAAATCTAATAAGAATAAAGTGTAGAGAAGCAAAGTATGCTGAAGGGATATTTATGGGGATAGTTTGGAAGACATAGAGGATGCGTGGGAGCAGGCTGATTTTGGTTACGTCAATGCAACCCAGCCAAGATATATGCGTCAGAGTCCAGTCTTCTAGGTTTTTACAAAAAGAAGTCAACATAGGGAGGAAGTTTATTTGATAGAGTTGGTCAAGATCCATAGTAAGCCAAATTCCCAAGTATTTGATTGCCCTGTCTGACCTCTGGAATGGGAAACTCTGGCAGTTCAGGTCAGATCTCCTCCTCAGCATATAGACATTTAAAATGGTAGACTTAGAAAAGTTTGTTTTGAGGCTGCAGTGTGCCTTGTAAGTACGAAACTCATTACGTAAAGGAAAACAGAAGCTCTGTCTATGTAAGCAGCTACGTTGTGATGGTCCCGGCCCACCTGGACTACTCTGAAATCAGGGTTTTGACGTTAAGCTTGGAGGAATGTTTCAAGGGCAAGGAAAAAGAGCAATGGCAATAGAAGAAGCACTGCATAACAGTTGAGAGAAAAAGGAAACTAAAAGTGTCCATCTCTTCTCCTACTCCCCCGCCCTCCTTCCCCTCCTCCCAACAGGAAGTATGCATAGATAAGAAGGTAATTCAACATTGACCCCATCACAATTAAAGTATGAGGGAACAGAATCTACGAGTAACAACACCGAGAAACTATAAGGGCAACCAGCTTACCATAGTCATTAATACAGGGAGTGCAGAATTATTAGGCAAGTTGTATTTTTGAGGATTAATTTTATTATTGAACAACAACCATGTTCTCAATGAACCCAAAAAACTCATTAATATCAAAGCTGAATATTTTTGGAAGTAGTTTTTAGTTTGTTTTTAGTTTTAGCTATGTTAGGGGGATATCTGTGTGTGCAGGTGACTATTACTGTGCATAATTATTAGGCAACTTAACAAAAAACAAATATATACCCATTTCAATTATTTATTATTACCAGTGAAACCAATATAACATCTCAACATTCACAAATATACATTTCTGACATTCAAAAACAAAACAAAAACAAATCAGTGACCAATATAGCCACCTTTCTTTGCAAGGACACTCAAAAGCCTGCCATCCATGGATTCTGTCAGTGTTTTGATCTGTTCACCATCAACATTGCGTGCAGCAGCAACCACAGCCTCCCAGACACTGTTCAGAGAGGTGTACTGTTTTCCCTCCTTGTAAATCTCACATTTGATGATGGACCACAGGTTCTCAATGGGGTTCAGATCAGGTGAACAAGGAGGCCATGTCATTAGATTTTCTTCTTTTATACCCTTTCTTGCCAGCCACGCTGTGGAGTACTTGGACGCGTGTGATGGAGCATTGTCCTGCATGAAAATCATGTTTTTCTTGAAGGATGCAGACTTCTTCCTGTACCACTGCTTGAAGAAGGTGTCTTCCAGGAACTGGCAGTAGGACTGGGAGTTGAGCTTGACTCCATCCTCAACCCGAAAAGGCCCCACAAGCTCATCTTTGATGATACCAGCCCAAACCAGTACTCCACCTCCACCTTGCTGGCGTCTGAGTCGGACTGGAGCTCTCTGCCCTTTACCAATCCAGCCACGGGCCCATCCATCTGGCCCATCAAGACTCACTCTCATTTCATCAGTCCATAAAACCTTAGAAAAATCAGTCTTGAGATATTTCTTGGCCCAGTCTTGACGTTTCAGCTTGTGTGTCTTGTTCAGTGGTGGTCGTCTTTCAGCCTTTCTTACCTTGGCCATGTCTCTGAGTATTGCACACCTTGTGCTTTTGGGCACTCCAGTGATGTTGCAGCTCTGAAATATGGCCAAACTGGTGGCAAGTGGCATCGTGGCAGCTGCACGCTTGACTTTTCTCAGTTCATGGGCAGTTATTTTGCGCCTTGGTTTTTCCACACGCTTCTTGCGACCCTGTTGACTATTTTGAATGAAACGCTTGATTGTTCGATGATCACGCTTCAGAAGCTTTGCAATTTTAAGAGTGCTGCATCCCTCTGCAAGATATCTCACTATTTTTGACTTTTCTGAGCCTGTCAAGTCCTTCTTTTGACCCATTTTGCCAAAGGAAAGGAAGTTGCCTAATAATTATGCACACCTGATATAGGGTGTTGATGTCATTAGACCACACCCCTTCTCATTACAGAGATGCACATCACCTAATATGCTTAATTGGTAGTAGGCTTTCGAGCCTATACAGCTTGGAGTAAGACAACATGCATAAAGAGGATGATGTGGTCAAAATACTCATTTGCCTAATAATTCTGCACTCCCTGTAATTGATATTAGGTGGGACTATTATTGCTTTTTTTATGGAATAGCAAGGGTGAATGACAGAACGGAATGCCCATAAAGTAGAATAGGAAGCAAGATGTGACTTGGAATCTGAACCATTAGACGTATCAGAAAAAACATTTGGCCAATATACTAAACAAATTCAGTAGCATGCTCTAAGACTGAGACTAAGTGGTATTATTATTGTGTTCCATGGAATGACAAGAGTGAGTGACATAATGCAATGCCCACAGAATAAAATTTGGAAGCAAAATATAAATGCATTTGCGGGCAAATCTGAGAGACAAAGCAATTTATCATTTACCATATTTGTTTCTCAAGTAGAGTAGCAGATTGTAAGATTTAAATTAACTGGGGTTATAGCTGTTTTCTATGGAATGACAAAGGTGAAAGGCAGAATAGAATGTCTGTAGAGTATAATGGGTAACAAGATGTGTCTCAAAGTCAGAACCATTCGACATATCAAATAAATCTTTAGCAAGCATACTCTACAAGTACAGTGGCATTATTTCAAATTGAGACTGAAATTATCATTGTTTTCTATGGGTCTGACACAGGTTAATGATAAAATGGAATACCCATAGAATATAAAGGAAAGATTATATGAACTCATTTACAAGCAAATCTGTGTAACATAGAAAATGAACCTTCACCACATGTGTTCCCCAAGTAGAATAGCAGATTGTGGAATTTAAATTATATCTATTTTCTATGTAATGATAGGCGAATGACACCATTATAGAGTATAATGGGAAGCAAGATGTGACTGGGAAACTAATTTGACATTTCAAATAAATCTTTAGCAGGCACGCTGAGATAATCTGTGGGTGTTCTTGACCACCTCTCATACCCATAGAGGTGATTGGGTAAACTGCATTAGCCTCTAGCTTCCAAACGTCAGGGATCCCTTTGAGGCGTATGTCGCAGCGCCTGTGGTGCACCATCCAGCTGAGCTGAGAGGTAAGGCCCTCTATTTGTAATTTGGCATCCTGAAGTTGGCTGTCTCAGCCTGAACTTCTTGAAGGTCAGTCTTTCAGAAGTTACGTAGGTCTATCAGGGTTTTTTTTATTATATATATATATATATATATATATATATATATATATATTTATTTATCTGCCTTTGTGGGACGAATCCTCAACCAATTCAGATGAGTGACACAAACCACCGGTTCTCCCTCCTCCTTAGATTCATCAGATGCCTCCGGTTTACACTGGGCCTGAGGTACCATCTTTGGCGGTGTCTGCTGCACCGACCTTTTGAAGAAAAGCTGAATATCTTGAAAACAGGGAGTTTCTGGGTGATGGCTTCTTATTTTTTTGCCTCATTGTATCATCTGGTGGTGGGTAATGATGTTTCTGGCTTGAAAATCGTATTTTCACAGCTTAAATTACTTTTTCTTATGTCTTTCGCGGAGCTTCACACAGTCAGTCTGTCAGCCACGCCCCCCCTGCTTTGATGTTTTTTTTGCAACAGGCAACATGCACTATGCCATTGGCAACAATTGCAATAAAAAAAACATGCACTCAGAGAGGGCATGTATTCTGTGCACATGTGGACCATCTGCTGCTGTCCTTATGTACAAGAGATATGTAGTTAGCTAGTGTCTTCTCAATGACAAAGCATTTGTGTTCATTTGTAGCAGTGCCTTGTGTTTTTTACTATATGAATCTTTGTTGCATTTTCTTTTTATCTTGTACTGTTTCTGTTGTGCAATCTTTTTTCAAACATGTTGACTGACGACATTATGACATCGATCTCCAGAAATAATAGAATAAGCGTTTAATACAGTGAAGACACCACAGTCAAAACTATTGTTTTGTTGCAGTACATCTTCACAAAGGTATACTGTCCATTTCTCATTGGCAAAATATATATTTGCTAATTGGTAACATGCTGTAGCAATTGATAAAAAAAAAAAAACAGCATTGTTAACATGTTTGTTCTTTCTTTTTCTTTCATGGAATCTAACATAATGACTTCTTTGGTGTTAAAAGTTATGACACAGAGGCACCAGTGTTGTACGGGACCGTAGGCATCCATGTTGATAGGAAGCAAGAGAATGTCTATATTTAAGGCAACATGTTTCCCCAGAAAGCTTTGAAAAAAGGCCTGGGACACCACAAAAACATTTCTATGAGGTTTCTCTAACAGATAACATTGCTTATGGCTTCTTTTATAACATCAAGGTCATTCTCCAGGATCCGATGTTTTTAGAATATTTTTTTCCCACTGTATTTAACAGTCTGTTATCCAGATTTGTTCCTGGCACATCCCATGGAGACAATTCATTGTATACATCCGTTTCATTTCATGGAGTAATTTCTTTGTTTGGTGTAGTGTGTTTTGGCCTACTCACAATGCTTTTGTCAGAGATATCCAAAATCAAGCTTTAATTAGGATTGAAATATCTGAGCTCCAGAATTTTTGGGTTCTAAATGTCCTCTCACGGGTGAACAGAACTGAATCATAACCCCATTTCCTTGGTTTCTTCCTTTCTGATCTTTTTGATCTACCTCATTTTTTTTCTTGCAAAGCATAGTTTGCTTGTCTTCTACCATCTTCCTTCCAAACTACTATAACGCGATAGCACAGCATTGTGCTGGGACAAAAATGTCACGTTCTGGAAAAAATGTTGGGGACTGTGGACAGAGGGTAATACTACCATTGTCTCAGGAGTATTTCGCCAAAGACCTTTGGTTCATTCGATAATGTTTTTTCCAATCTTTTCACTGGCTCAGGGTCTGAACTTTGATCTCATCAATTATGGTCTCAAGTAGATAACAAGGCAGGGAATGCTACGTCTTCCACAATTCTTCCCAAATGTGAAAACTCTATTTTCACTTCATAGTTTCCAAGTCCACAAAGTGCTCGTTCAAATTCATGCAGGTAATTACACTAGATATAAGACATTGCAAGAACGAATAGGTCAACAAACAGTTCTTTTCATTCATTCATTTTTTTTTATTTTTTTTTATAACTTCCACTGATTTTTGTTTGTTGCATTCTTATCCTTCACAAAGGCAGAACATTTGGATGTTAGAAACTTAACAGAATAGTTTGAGATGCAATCCTTTGGTTGTCTATCAAAATAGTCTATAAAGTCTTTGCTCCATTTACCCCTTTCTCCTCTGTCAGTAACAAAGGGAGTGCATTTAATCCTGTTACCAGCCAAACAGTTTAGAAGGTCACATAAGAATTCACTATGGCATGCTTTCAATTTTCTCTCATTTAGAAAAAAAAGCAAGAGGAAAAATCAAGTTACCAATTAAAGTGATATTTCTCATCAAACACGTTGAGAGATAAAAGTCACCAACATTAAATGTGGTATTAAAGATGTGGCAATGGAGCATCTTAACTCGATATACAAATACGCTTCCGAGCTTTACCTAACATGTCTGATGTCTGGTTGCCCAAACAATAACCACAACATATGTAAAAATTACCTTTTTTATGTAATCACCCAGGTGGAGACTAAATAGGTGGAGACTAAATATTTGAAATATTTGTTCAAACTCAAGGAAATCGGTCTAGATGAAAATGCTTGTTCTTGGGTAGAACATTGGCTTAAAAACAGAGTACAAAGAGTTGTCATTAATGGTAAATTTTCAAGCTGGACAGAGGTGGCAAGTGGTGTCCCTCAGGGGTCTGTTCTGGGACCCCTTCTATTTAACATATTTATAAATGATCTTGAAGACAGCATTGAAAGTCATGTTCCAGTGTTTGCAGATGACACAAAACTTTGTAAAATAATACAACGTGAGCAAGATATTACTTTGCTGCAGAGGGATTTAGCTAGACTGGGGGCTGGGCACTCAAATGGCAGATGAAATTTAATGTTGAAAAGTTATGCACTTCGGCATAAGAATACACAAGCAACGTATACCCTTATATATTACTTTGCTGCAGAGGGATTTAGATAGACTGGGGGACTGGGCACTCAAATGGCAGATGAAATTTAATGTTGAAAAGTTATGCACTTCAGCTTAAGAATACACAAGCAACGTATACCCTTAATGGAAGCGAGTTAGGGATAACAACACACGAAAAGTACTTGGGAATTGTTGTAGACAACAAACTATGCAACAATGTGCAATGTCAATCAGCAGTGGCCAAGGCCAGTAAGGTATTGTCATGCATGAAAAAGGGCATTCATTCTCGGGATGAGAATATAATTTTGCCTCTTTACAAATCACTGGTAAGACCACATATTGAATATGCATATGCTGTGTAATTTTGTGCACCTGTTCTAAAGAAGGATATTATGGCACTAGAAAAAGTGCAGAGGCGGGCTACAAAATTAATAAAAGGAATGGAACATATCAGCTATGAAGAAATGTTAACAAATTTAAACCTATTTAGTTTAGAAAAACGTCGCCTGAGAGGGGATATGATAACATTATACAAATATATTCGGGGCCAATACAAACCATTGTGTGGAAATCTATTCACAAACCGGACTTTACATAGGACACGAGGCCATGCGTTTAGACTGCAAGAAAGAAGATTTCGTCTAAGGCAAAGGAAAGGTTTTCTTACTGTAAGAACAATCAGGATGTGGAATTCTCTGCCTGAAGAAGTGGTTTTATCAGAGTTCATACAGATGTTCAAACAGCTACTAGATGCATACTTGCAAAAGCAGAATATTCAAGGATATAATCTTTCAATGTAGGGTAATAACTGCTTGATCCAAGGATAAATCTGACTGCCATTCTGGGGCCAAGAAGGAATTTTTTTTCTAGCTTGTTGCAAAATTGTGCTTCAAACTGTTTTTTTTTGCCTTCTTTTGGATCAACAGCTAAAAACAAATGTGAGGAAGGCTGAACTTGATGGACGCAAGTCTCTTTTCCGCTATGTAACTATGAACCACTAGGAAACCAAAATCCGTGCTTGAGAGGCACCAAGTGGGGGTAACCCACAACAATTCAATTTGATTACAAAATTGACAAAATAGGCCCAAAAAAAGGCATATGAGTCCAAAAATGGAGA